CACTTCGGTTTCACGGGCTACGGAAGAAAGAGGACGGCTGAACCCCTCCCTGTTAAGAGGCTCTAAAACATACATACGCAGAGTGCCGTAGGGGGATAGTGGGTACGAAAATATAGTCTAGACTACAACGAGAAGAAATATTCTCGGTGTTTTCTTCTTCCTGTGGAGTCTCCCACTTGGTTTTCCGAAATGACTCATGGGACACCCATGGGTTACCCATGGGTAGCCCGTGGGCAGCCGTTGGGCGGCCTATGGGTTACCCATGGGAAGCCCATGGGCGGCCAATAAGAGCCCTTCGACCGAACCAAGAGTGGACTATCAATTACCTGCTTTGGAACTGGCACAGCAGCAAATAACCCTAACAACGCTAACAGTAATCCTGCAAGCCCACACGATACGTGCTAGGTTGATGTGCCGGTGGCAAAGTTGTAGGTTGAAGTAAGTGCCATGGGTCACCCATGGGTGCATTCGATATGTTCAGGGTTCTGCACGGAGCGTTTTTTTTCCACGGAGCGGAGCGGTTTACACCGCTCCGCTCCGCTCCGTGGGGCTTCCCAAGAAACCGCACAAGCGGTTTTTTCACGGAGCGGTTTGAGCTACTCCGTCACACAAGCACGGATAGAACCGCAATGCAGTCACGGTTTTTCCCACGGAGTGACGGTTTTTCTCCCACGGAGTCGCGGTATTTTTCTGTTTTCTGTTCTACTTTTACAGCAGCCACACAAATAACCGTGCCCACGCACACAGCAGCAGTCCGTGCCACACACACATACACTCCGCGCAACGCACTCCGTGCACATCAGTCCGTGTGCATCATGTGCTGTTGTACGTGTTGCAGGAACGTATGAACGAGTCGAGGAGGTATCGATGTGAATGGTTCCTCTCTACATAATAAATTAAGTGAATGATTGACAGCTTTTTTTTGTCTTTTTGGGCTGTCCTAGTCGCGAGGACGCATACAGTGTCACCCGCGGCCTCCAACCACAGCACACAGTACGGAACAATCGGTCTTCGGTGCACGAAACCCAACGGTTTTCACGAAATTGCAGGTGCTCCGTCGATTATGTACGGATATCCGTGCGGTTTCGACGTTTTTTTCCGACGGAAAACCGTGCTCAAAGCCACGGTTTCGCGCGGTTTTTGCTACGGAGTAAAGGAACCGCTCCGTACAAAAAACCGCACTACGGATAAACCGCTCCGCTCCGCTCCGTGGCATGAAAAAAAAAACCGCTCCGCTCCGTGAAATAAAACCAATAACAATCCTCATGGTATCCTATATGCGTTCGAAAGCTTGCTAAAATACTACTGCGTTGATGTCCTCTTGTAAAAGCTGAAAGTGGTCGAATATAGTATTAATGCATAAAAAATCGTTACTGAAAAGAATTGCGCGCTCGACACTAAATAATTCTATATACATACTTCGTATATATGTTGCTGCTGTGGAACATAAAAAAAACTTAGCTGACGAAAAACTTGCTATTGAACGATTGGTAATGGAAGACATTACTCGAAGTTTCCGCTTTTTGCGTGGGGGGGAAGGCATAGAACAACATATTCGCCTGATTGAGAGCGAAGTATCTGATTGAGAGCGAGAGCCAAAAAAATTGAAATTTCGGGTCCAGACGCCTCTTGCCATTTCTTGGCAAGTAGGGGACGGGCTATTCCAAGAAGCGGTGCAAATTGAAGGTCTCATCAGCAGCTTCGCGAGCATATGCGTGTCATCGTCATCGGATGCTGCAGCGAGGAGCTAGACAAGTTGCTAGATTTGCCCAGATTGGCTATTTCTGCTCAAACTGNCTCAATCAGATACTTCGCTCTCAATCAGGCGAATATGTTGTTATAGTAAGTGTGCTCTTATCGGCCGCTTGGGTGGTGTTGCCACAATTGTTCCCGCCCCCATCGCTATCATCCCCGGTGTTTGCCATCGGGGTTGGGTTTTCGTCGCTTGGCAACGGCGTTGTAAAACAAGCCGCCCCCCCCGGTGTTTGCCATCGGGGTTGGGTTTTCGTCGCTTGGCAACGACGTTGTACAACAAGCCAATTAATTCATTTCGTGAGCTCGGCAACCAGGTTGTTACCGTTTTTGTGTACCTCTGTTTTTGTTTTGTGGTAACCATAATGAATGGTGGTCGAGTGGATAATGTTGTGCGGGGTGGAGAATCCTCACTCCGCGCAAGGGGGACGATCGCACCACGTTGTGTTAAAATGGTCAAGCACCCTCGAGGCAGTTACACAGTGCTTACAACTGTCTCTGGAAGTGAAAGCACCAGAAAATAAATTAAGTCATACGCAGCTGTCATCCGTACGCAAGGAAGTAAGCACAAGATGCCGAACACCCTTAGCAGGATGCAGCGCACCCTTCATGCGACTCGCCGAATATCTCACGGCGCTTCGCGCTTGGTGATGTGAGAGCCTGGTCCGGTGAGAACCCGGCGTGCTCCGTCCCGGCTTTGTAGGGATGCGAGGTCAATGGTCTGAGGACTTCGACGGCATCACGACTATGAATATACCCCCCCATCACTATAGATTCATGATGTAATTTTCGAGTATTACGTGATATGCTTCAACATATGGCATAGCGGTACACCTTTAGACTTTACAGGCAAAGTTAGCTGGTTCGATCCCCTCCGCGTTGTGTGATGTTCCTGCGCTGGTCATCTCGAAAGCGAGGAAATTTGTCTGGTGATATATCGCTTGATTAACCCAACGAATACAATGAATGGGAGGGAGGGGAAAGCTCACACGTATTTTTTCTTTTCTCCTCCTTCACACAATCCGCGCATAACCGCTTTCATAACCCGGCACGTTATGCCCGCTCGGCCTGTAACCCCCCCACGTTATCCCATGTCATAACCCCTCGTTGGCCGGAGGGTACACAACGCCCCCGTACAACCGTGCCCACTGGCCACCTGTGAAGTGAGAAGAGTTTGATGGAAGTTCAGAGAGATCCGAAGAATCCGCAACAGCAGCCGCAGGATCAACAGCAGCCGCGGCAGTACCAGCAGCCTCACCATCAGCAACAGCAGCATCAGCAGCAGCAAGACGGCCGCGGTGGGGGGGGCTGGGGTGGTGGACCTCAGCACGGACTCCACGTCGGCCACGGAGCGCAGCAGCGGTATGGATACCCGCCCGCTCGCCCGCAGCAGCAGCATTGGCGACCCCCGCACAGGCAAGCAAACGTGATGCACCAGCAGTATAGTGCCACGCCCTACGGGGGGCCCGCGAATGGTAGCGAGTATGCGAGTTGGGAGCAGCAGCAGCCACCGTATCAGAAGCCTCCGCCGGACTACACCCAGCAGCAGCCGCCGTACTACCCGCCTCCGACACCGTACTATCAGCAGCAGCCACCGCCACAGCCTCCGCCTGCGCCGACGTTCCAGCAGCAGCAGCCGTCGCAGCAGCAGCAGCACTCCACCCATGCCCCTCCCTACTCGGCTCCTCCCGGAGCAGCAGCACCGTCCCCCGGCTCCCTCCACTTCTTGATGGCACGTTTTGTGCCTGCAAGCGAGATCGTACCTAGTGGTGTGGTAGCAAGCAGCGAGCGTGATAGTGGTAGAGGATTTGCTTTGGCTGCACGAAACCCGAATTCGCATATTGGCAGAGAGAGATTTTGGGCCGACAGCGGCGCCACCAACACGTTTGTTNCCCTCCCTACTCGGCTCCTCCCGGAGCAGCAGCACCGTCCCCCGGCTCCCTCCACTCCTTGATGGCACGTTTTGTGCCTGCAAGCGAGATCGTACCTAGTGGTGTGGTAGCAAGCAGCGAGCGTGATAGTGGTAGAGGATTTGCTTTGGCTGCACGAAACCCGAATTCGCATATTGGCAGAGAGAGATTTTGGGCCGACAGCGGCGCCACCAACACGTTTGTTAGCAGCAGCCATCAAATGTACGACTTAAGGCCAGTGCCGCCCGGTAGCGCGTGCAATGTGTTGGCAAGGTAAACATGACGTTCCACATGCCCGGCCCTTCGGACTAGACCGATTTTTGTGTACAGATGTCGGACGTGTACGTAGTCCCCGGCATCACATTCAACCTGTTTTCTCTGCAATAGACGCAGCGTAGGCAGAAGATCACTTTGGAGGGACATGGCTTGCACCTCTTCAATGGTAGGCTTACCTTTACTTGCTCCGACGTAGGATGTTCCCTGTTGGCCACTCGCTTGCCTCGGGAGTATCCTGGTAGTGCTGTGACCTACAGCCCCGATGCCCCCCCCCATGTTCTGCCCAAGCCTCCCCGCCTAGCGTTGGCACAGGCCTTGTCGCGGCAAATCCCCCATTCCCACAGAGTGCAGGAGCGGGCACGACTTCTAGTGCAAGTGCGAGTTCCGGTTTCCAGTCCGTCACAACGGCCGGCGTTGTACCTTCGACTTCTGGCGTCCAGCCCACCGTAGTCGTTGCCGGTGTTGTACCTTCGAGTTCGAGTCCGAGTCCGAGCTTCCAGTCCGCCGGTGGTGCCGCTGCCGGTGTTGTACCTTCGAGTGCCAGTGCGAGTCCGAGCTTCCAGTCCGCCGGTGGAGTCGCTGCCGTTGTTGTACCTTCGTCTGCGAGTGCGACTTCGAGCGTCCCATCCACCACGTCCGGTGTGGTGCTTCCGCGTTGTGCATTCCCGCCCATCGACGTAGATGTAGTGCCAAAGACTATTGCCGACTTCCAGCCTGTAATCACAGCTGCCGTAGCATCGCCTGAGATTGTTTTTCCCTCCGTCGTTGACCCGAGCGATTTCCGTGAAATTGTGACCAACCACCTCATCCCCCAGGACCATTTTCCTCTCATGGATATGAGCATGTTCCCTGATGTAGGCCTGATGGATGGAAAAGACTCGGTCCCACAGGGTCATTTTTCCGGATGCGCTTGATGCTTGCAATTCTGCAACACCCCCTCCCCCCGCGTTTGCCGTGATGAGTGATGAATTGGATTGCCTAAGAGGTTTCGTTGCTGGATGCAGTGAGTAGCAAACCGTAGCTCCCCCCTCCCTCTCGCATGCCTTGGCGATTTTTGCCCCCGGTGCTTCCCCATTTCGGTAGGAAAATCCATGCCGACCATTGACATTAATTTGTTCCATGCCTCCACTGGCCATGTCAACGAATTCTTGATGCGTGAAACGGCCAAGCAGCAGGGCGTACGACTGGTGGGGGAGATGCAGCCGTGTCTGGGCTGCGTGGAGGCGAAGGGCAGGCGGGCACCGGTGCCGCGGCGTGGCACCCGCGCGGCGGTACCGTTCGGCAAAGTCCAAATCGACCTCACGGGCCCGTTCTCTGACGCGCTTGACGGCTCCCGGTACCTGATCATGTTCGTGGACAGCGCATCGCGGTGGCAACGGGGGTACGGGATGCGGACCAAGAGCGACACCCTGAAGTTCGTGCAGTGGTTCCTCGCCGACATGAACGGCATGGGCACTCCGGGGTGTTTCCGCGTGGACAACGGCGGCGAGTTCACCGGCTCCGCGTTCGCCTCGTTCTGCGACGCTGCTGGCATTCGGCGCGAGTACACCACCCCCGACACCCCCAAGCAAAACGCGGTGGTCGAGAGCGCCATATGGTGCGCCATGAAGTGGGGCCACGCCGCGCGCCGCCACATCCTCGCCATGGGCCACGTCGACCTCTCCTCCATCCCCAACGTCGGCGTCAACGGACATCGCCTGTGGCTCGCGTCGGCGCTGTGGGCATCCGCCTGCTTCAATCGCTCCGCGACGAAGGCCAACCTGGGCTGGATGTCGCCGTTCGAGGCGTTCTTCGGCCGGAAGCCGCCCCTCACCATCGTCCCTTTTTTCCAGGAGGGGATAATGCGCGTGAAGCGGGCCACCAAGGCGGACGTCCAATCCTTGCGGTGCTTCTGCCTGCACGGCGCCAACAACCACTCGACGTCTACCGCCGTCGTTCTCGCGCTGACACCGGTCGCCTCGCCCGCACGAACAACGTCGTGTGGGTCAACCGCCGGGCAGGAGCGCCGGCGTCGGTGCCGGGCATCGGGGGGGGTTCTTCGGTCACCGCGGCACCCTCGCCGGCCGCCGCCGTGCCTGCGGCCGATGCCGCACCGCCGCCGCCCCCGCCATCAAGGACGTACACCAACATCCCGCCTACACCAGCGACCACCGCACCGCCGCAGCCCGCTTCCCCGCCGAACTTCACAGGATCCTCAGCCCCGTCGCTGGTCTCCGTCGTCCCATCATCAGTCCCACCGTCGACCGCAGCCACGCCGCCCCGTTCGCCCCCGGGTCTGCCGCCGCCGCTGCCGCAGCCCACCAGCGCCGCCACCCCCGCTCCCCCGCACCCGCCGCTTTTAAAACGAGCCGTCAAGGAGTTGGGACGAGAGGACACGAGGGTACACGGCCGCACGCGCGGCAATGGAGTACGGTTGAACAACAACAACCGCCGTCCGGTGGCGGCGCCGCTCTCCACCACCGTCTTGGTCTGTTAGCGATGATGGACAAGGACTCCCTCAACTCGTCGCTTGCCACCCGGGAGGCCGTGGATCAAGGACGCCGCGACCTACCGACCCCGCCGCAGCCGGATCCGAGTCTTGGAGGCCGTGGAAGCGGGGGGGCTGTGGGAGCTGGGGGGGGCGTGGATTCCGGCGGAGGGGGGAAACCGCAGATGTTCGCAAACGATGTTCGCCACCCGCGAGGGTGTGGACGCCGCTATTCGCTCCGAGCGCCCGCCCGATAAGATGCCGGACCTTCCTCACTGCCTCGCCAGCGACCTCCGCGTGCCGAATACGTTCAAGGAAGCCATGCGGTCTAAACATTCAGTGTTGTGGGATGATGCAGTCGGTGGAGAGTTTTTCGGTTTGTTGGATGCAGGAACTAGTCCGGTGTAGCAACCAGTAGAATACGTCATCAATGCTAAGTGGGTCTTTAACTGTAAGGCAGACGAGTACGGATGGCCGACGAACTTCAAGGCAAGACTTGTAGCGCGAGGGGACATGCAGAGGGCTTCGATTGATATTGGAGAATTGTTTGCACCCACCGTTTCAGTGTCTAGTGTGCGCTTGTTAGCAGCATTAGCATGTGAGCAGTATCTTGACTTGCGCCATTTCGATATTCAGCAAGCTATTGTGCCGTCTGAGCTTGGTGAGGATATTTTCATGCGCGTACCGCAGGGGTGTGGTAGGTTATCTGGCCTGATCGTGAAGCTGTGCAAGAGTCTGTATGGTTTGAAGCAGGCGTCACGACATTGGCATGCGCACCTGACGAGGTGTTTATTACGTGTAGGTTATTTGCGGTGTCTGGCAGATGCATGTGTTTTTCGATTGATGGAGGAAGGACGTGTGATCATGATCATCGTGGTCCACGTGGATGACATTCTTGACGTAGGGCAGAAGGAGAGGTTTGACAAGTTTGGCAGGGATCTCAACACAATGGTCCCCGTGAAGAACCTTGGAGAATTGAGATGGTACTCAGCGTGCTTTTACGAGAGAGACGTAGAGGGAGGGCTGTTGAGGATTTCGCAGCAGAGGTTTGCCGAAGAGTTGGCTGCAGAGTACGGCATTGAGTGGGGGGGAGCGTGCCCTTGCCTGTGAGCGTGACGCTCACCGACTTTGACGAGAACGAAGCGTGCGCTGATGTCCCTTTTCGCGAGTTGGTAGGATCTCTGATGTCGTTGGCCACTTTAACAAGGTCGGACATCGCGAACGCAGTACGAGCAGTAGCGCGGTATTGTGCAGCTCCCAAGATGGTGCACTGGAAGGCAGCACTCGGTATTTAGGGTACGTGCGGAGGACGAGTTGGATGGGGACCACATTTGAGAGGGGAGTGGCGACAGGGATGAGCATGCAGGTGCTTGTGGATGCCGACTATGCAAGCAAGGCGACAGACCGTAGATCGGTGTCAGGGGGGCTAGTGATGTGTGGGGGAGGGTGTGTGGCTTGGTTTTCGAGGACGCAGAAGTGCGTTACGCTTTCCACCACGGAAGCAGAGTATGTGGTAGTTGCCGATGTCTTGAAGGAAGTGTTGTTCCTGAGGCAGGCGTGGCGTTCTATGTTGCCAGATGCAGGTATGCCGTGCATCCCGGTGTTCGAGGATAATCAGGGAGCGATTCAGATTGCGCACAACCCGATCACGAACTCCAACTCGAAGCACATCGATGTACGGCATCACTTTATGAGGGAGCTGGTAGAGAGGAAGGAGATCTCAATTACTCATGTGCCGACGCAATTTCAGCATGCAGATTTCTTGACCAAGGCTATTAGCAAGGAGGGAAGTGTTTTGGGGTCGATTCGTATTCTGAAAGAGAAGAGAGAAAGAGGGAAACGAGATCGGACATGAGAAAGAGAGAGTCTGGTGAAGGTGGTAGGAGTGTTGGAGTTGTGGTGGGATTTTTCTTGTGATGGTCTTAGAGGACTTTTTCTTGTTTTGGAGATGATGGTTAAGAAGAGGGTGAAATTGTTTTTTGCCGAAGCATGACGATGCATATGAGCAGGGGGGCTATTCGATATATTGGGGGTACTCGTAGCATAGTATGACGGGATATCTTCGGTACGTACGTACGGAAATTGCAGTGATGAGATGCGGAGGAATCAGAACTTTGTGGGTATTTTCCATGGAAGTGAGAAGAGTTTGATGCAGGTTCAGAGAGATCCATTTGGAAGTTTGAGCGTGGTGAGCGTGACGCGTGCTTGATGCCGTGACAGATTTACGAGCGCGAGCACGCCCCCGAAGAATACAATACGTTTTCCACCACGTTTTCTACCCATCTACGGCCCGTCATGGCCGAGCTGCTCTACACTCCCAACACACAGAACTGAGCCACCCGAATCATCGATAAGGGTGTGTGTCCCATATGGATGGGCGGTTTAACAAAACTGTCATTAACAAAACTGTCAGCAGTAGCGTGTGGGATTGCTCCTGTGTAACCCCCACCGATGAGTCAGAATTATTCACCGAACGGTGCGTGGACTGACTGGCTCCAGAATACACATATTTGCGAATCCAACCGGCATCCGCAGACAACCATCCACCCTACTCCCTCTGATCCTCTGATGGCCTTCTGCTCTTCACTACTAGACTATTTGTGCGGCTGTGCGGCGTCCACCGCAGGAGGGGTATAGATCATCAAATACTACTGTATCCCAAAGTTAAGCATCCTCCCTATAGACTAGACTATACGGGCCAATCGCTGCGTCATGACTAAAATGTGAGCGGCATTACATACGGCACCTGCCGCAAATAGGTCTGTTCCACTCCCCCGGTCATCAAACTTTCTTCTCGTATTGTCGAATGAGGCGTTTTCATCACATGCCGACGTCACGAAGCACTGGTGGCTATGTGCGGCGCGAGTGTGCGTCCCGCAGGTACACACGTGCAAGTTGCTGTTGGCCTCCAAGCTCTCGTTCACCTCAACCCGCTCTGTGTGCATTAGTGAACAAAACGAAAGGGAGAGCTTGAGTGCCCCACCATGGATCGCCAGAATCTTACAAGGGCTTTCGTCGACACCCGCAAATATCAATCAACACCTGCTATATCGGTGAGTTCAAGTGACGGAAATGACCCCACAGTCAGCGTAGACGTGACCTGTATGTTGCCCACAGTACGCAGATTTTACCGTACCGTAGACGGCTACGCCGAGATTTCTTCAGTACTTCGGCGTGGGCAGTCATCTCAGTTGCTCAGAGGTTATAACTATCGCGAACGATTCAACCGAGAACAAGCGGACTTCCTGGCCGTGTCGCACCATGTGCATACACTGCGCAATCGTGTCGCTTTTATTTTTCTCCAACTGCTGTGTACTCATGTATCAATGAACGATACGAGAGATACTAAACTCGTTTTGCGATGTACATTCCACCGCTGCACTTGCAGCGGGATCGAACCTCTTGAAACCTCGAGGTGATCTTTTCAACCTCAAGCCCTGAACGGAGGTCGGAAAAGGCTCACAGTGCTACATAGCGACTGCTTCGTGATATTGTGTCGCTTCTGCCCTTCGCCTGAACGTCACTTCGCTCGTTCCACAAGGACAGTCGAACAGTCAAAACCACGCAGAGAAAGAACACTGCTGCTGCAAATGGTGAGGGAGGCAAAGCTCCAAAGAAAAATCTACCAGTAGATTACGTGTTCGTCTACAGTAGTAGACCATGCAATGTACGATGCGGGCAGCATGCTCTTCTGGAGGAACACTGGAGTACAGAAGTCTACATCAGGGACTCGGCTCGGAATCACGTCTTGTGTTGGAAAACAGCACATCAGCGAAACCTCCGCTGCTTCGAGATCACGGCCATAAGAACTTGGATTGCGCAGTGGAGCTTGGAGCTATCACGATCCAACTTTCCCTTCGCCAAAGATGGCCAGGTCGTCTCACAGCACTCCTCAGCAGCAAGCAACACCACCACTCCATTATTTTTTCGCTTGCGTCGCGCGATGCTGCAGGTGTCCGATTCGAAACTCACCAGAACCTACAGCGAAAGAGAGGCCCGTGGTTCTCACGGTCTGATGCAGATGATCGAGCGGGGAACTGTCGACGACGTGCGCACGATCTTGTTGAAAACGCAACCGCCAGACAGATCGATACTAACTGCTCCGAGTCTGGAGGCCGAGCACTTCCAGCGAACGCCGTTGATGGCGGCTGTTGAACGCGGCGACTTGCCAATATTTACGGCGCTTCTGCACTACTTCGATCGACTATTCTCAGCCAACGTGAGTGCCAAACATGTACAGTAGTCTAGAGACCGCAAACTCCAGAGTACTGTATTCCACGGTACTCCTAGGCAATACGAAACGAAACAATTTCGTATCTTCCTTTGTTATATCGAGGCCGAAATGAAGCTATTCACGTACACTAGCATAGACGATGTAACTACTGAGTCTACATGATAGGCTACAGGACTAATACTACAGTACTACACAGTCAGGCTAATAGTGGTCAGCTACAATGTCAGACTAGGGTACTGTACATGTACATGGAGTCTTGACGTTGTGATTTCGGCTTCTAACAAAGATCGTCGTGTGGTCCGATTGGACTCGAAGCAGTGGGGTAAGGCGAGGGGGTTGATACGGGTTTCCACGATCGATCACAAGTTTAGAAGTCTGCTTACTGTATGTCCGTGTAGTTCCCCATATTGCGCATGTACTAGCCCATTCGAGGCTTTCTGCCACCACCCCACGCCAACAATCAACCGGCAGTAATATTACGGGAAACTCTCCCTACTCTTCGCCACACTTGATGATGAGTAAATAAAGCTACGAACATGAGTACATTTCAATTTTTTTCCCAAAAAACGCAGTCTACTGCTATGTACATGATGTAGGACCGTTCCACTCGCACCACGTTCGAGAAGGAGACAAGAAATGCTTGATGAAAATGCAAAGAAAAAAGAACAGGAGATGCACATGCAGCAAATTGCGAAGGTGTACCGATTCAGGTAAAAGTCAATCGACAGATACCCTGCGAATCGGGTCCTCCTTAACACTCTCCACCCACCCACAGAATTTACCCTCAACTGGGAACCTCTTGTGGCCAGGATGGGTAATTCGTTAATTCGATGGAAGTGTCACAAGGTTCATTGTAGGATCGACTCCAAGAGGCGTTCTCAGGACTGACACACATTGCGTCCTTGGGAAAATATCCAAGTCAGGAGAAAGATGTGCACCCAAGGAGATTCGAACCAGTATCCTGCCGCTGACGCCATAGTTTAAAGGAATGCCCGCCCGACGGTGGCTTGCCTCCTAGATGTAGTAGATGTAGATTCTGCCGTAGACACTCTTGTCCACGAGCACGTTGAGATGGGAAGGTTGCTTGTTATTGCAGAAGCGGGTCTGCTACAGGTCTGAGGTGAGGCGGATTGCCCTCAACCTGGGGGCACGCAGATAGCTAAGTCCCGATGGGGTACGTCCTAAGAGGNTGTTATTCTCGAAGAAGATCGAAGGGCTTTGACCCCATCCAGGGCGTGGGTTACGTCTTCTCGCGCGCAAAACGCTATGTTTATTCCTTCTTTGTGTTCTTTACTTGGTCAAATGGGTTAAGCAATGGTCCGATGGGGTCATCCAAAAGGGTCACGCACCACAAGAGTCACTCGTTTTGAGTTTTCTCGGCTCCAGTCAGTCCCACCGAATGATGTCAGAGAGCTCCGACGGTCTCATTCAGGAACAAGCTGGCATCGATCATTCAACAGCGACCGAGTGGTTCAGCTGGAAAAGAACCCCTGGGTGTAGCTATAATACATGGGTCCCACGTGTGTCAGGAATTTTGACACGAGCACGAAATTTTGACACGAGACCAGAATTTTGACACGAGACCTCAGAATTTTGACACGAGAGGTTACGCCGCATTTTTTCATGTCAGAATTACAGGTCAAAATTTTTCGAAAACGTGGTCAAAATATTTTCACCTGAGGTATTTTGACAAGAGAAAACGACAAATTGACACGCGCGCCATCGCACACACACGAACGCATCAACTCAGTCGGCAAGCTCGCACGCAGCTGCCCGCACACCCACACACGTGAACACAACGCTGCTGGGAGTACATCGCGTTATGGGAACGTCAAGCCGCGGTTAGGATCGTGTGCGTTCATCCCGGGATCGAGAACAAAACACGCCGAGGTTGGTCTGTCTGGACTCTGGACTCGAAGCACACGGGAGATAACCACAACAGCAGCTAGTCGGGTGCCCCGCCCGTGATGGGAGAGGTTACAGCAGTNGGCTCACCTTATCTCGACTCCGAGGGGTGGGCAGGTGGTAGGGCTGCTTCGGCTGGCGGCAGTGGTCGCATGTCCAACCCTATAGCCTTGGATATGTCGGGCAGTGGCTTGGACGTATCAGGAAGCAGCAGCGTGCTTCTGGACGGGGTGGTCGCGGAAGCGCACGAGGGAGAAGATGAGGTAGGCGAAGGTGATGAGGAGGAGGCAGGTGAAGAGAGCTCCGACTCGAGCGACAGCGAAGAGGAAGTCAAGACCCGGGGCAAGAGCGGGCCACTGATCAGGGTGAGTTCTTCTTTGGGAAGGACTTCTTTTCGGGGTCGACTGGGTGCACGCAGAGTTGTTCCCGGGGCCGATCTACGCGATTGTTCGGGTAGCAAGTAGCAGCGAGATACAAGTGTGCTGACGTCTCGGCGTGTAGGTCGGNAGGGGAATGGGAATGCTGCTTTCTAGCCGTCGGGAAACACACTCCGTGGGGGGAGCGTAGTGACGCACTGCGGCCTGAAAAGTGGCTTCGGGTGGTGGACACGTTCATAGAGGCCCAGACGCTGACCACATGCAGGAATGGGGTGCGGCAAGACCTGCACCTGGACTACCAGCGCAACCGTGTAAGGACCGTATCAAGATTAAGGCTGATTGAATGTTTGTTTCTCTCTTGAATGGTA